TAACGTCGATTTGATTGTCTAGTAGGAATTGCGCCAACTCGAGTTTATGATGCGAAACGCCGTTAGCGTTCCACGTAGATATTCGTAGGGAAGTCAATATTTGGATTGTTGTGAAACCAGCATTTGTATGTATAGATTTTGGTTTCGCATCAGATCTTGCATTGTTGTACGCATAAACGACATAAACTCCGTAAGGATTTGTTGTAGACTGCATATCATAGCTTCAAAGGTACTTTTTGGCTGCTCTGGCGGTTGATGCTGCTGAGCCGTGTTTGATTCTTGGTATGCTGATTGCGTCAATGAGCTTTTTGAGGCTGGGGTAGACAGTACTAATTTTAAAGCACTTGCGTATGTAACATTTTTGGCAGAGTTTATGGGTCCTTGTGAGGATCTGGCTGCAGTCGAGAAAAAGACTTCAGGGTTTGACCTGGAGGCTATCAACTGTTTATTTTGGGTGCGAGCAGTAATTCCTGGTGGATTCGACTTCTTAGCTCCTTAAAAACTGGGCAACCTCTATAGTTAGCAGTGTGATTTCCACCGCAGTACTTTTTTGCCGCACTTTTTTGAGTTGTGGTCATCTTTGCTCGCTGGGCAGTGTGCGAAGTCATGAAGTTCACAACTACGCACACCGGGCGCAGTTTACAGTAAGACCTTGTATGGGCAAATTCTTGGCAGTTCGCACATTGTACCGGGCCATTGCGTTTGTGCGGCCATTCAACCGTAATTCTGTGGTGCAGCAGGAACTAAAGATTATATATAGGGTGCACTTCGTATTTCTTTAGGGGCTTAATTTCTGGTTCAAGCTCAACCTTAAAGAGTGGCTGCGGCTTTCTATCCCTGTTAAGGATATTGAAGACTGTCTTAGCGCTAAATCCCTTCTCTTGTAGCGCCTTTGTTATCTCTGCAGGCGATACTTCGGACTCTATGCCCTTAAATACAACTTTCAGGCCTTTGCTGCTTTTTAGCTGATACGTGTAAAAGTTCTTTTTTTTTGTCGGTGAGATATTTCGATAATACTCTGTAATTATCTTCAGACTTCGTTTGAACTTTTCTTTCCTGGATTTTGCCCTTTACGAGTGGTATTATGTGGAAGTTGTCCTTGCTAATTATAATTTATAATTATAATTTTCTTGACAAGAACGTTGGAACTTTTTTCTCGTATGTAAATTGGCGGGGGCTTAGGCTTCCTTTTTTCGACTTCAGTAGATGCGGCATCATCCTCATAGTCTGCCAAGATTTTAAAACGGTTTGAGTTAGTGGGCGTTTCTATTGCAGCTATGTTAGCATTGCCACGGGTTATTTTGCGTTGAGAGTTTATGGGGCTTAGCTTCCTTTTGATTTGGATGTAGCGATCCATACCAGTCTCCACAGCCGGGTTAATATTTTCTTTGTTTTTGTTCTCTTTTGCGGGCAGCGCAGCGGCAGAAGTATTATTGTTTGCGCTGCTAGCTGATGACGTCGTTAAACGCGCTGTCGTTACAGTTGCGGTTGTTGTTGTTGTTACGGTTGACGTTGTCAAAGAAATTGCGGTGCTAGTTGCTGCGCTCTTTGGCTGAATTGGTTTTAAATTTTGAAACACTTATATGCACGGATACTTGGTACGTATTTGGGCTCATGAGTCAGGTATTCTATAAGATCCTCCCTCCATAGGTTTTCTGAAAGACCTGACACTTTGCTATCCCTTGGGCGAGTCCACCTGAGAACTCACCCCTACCCTCAAGTGTGCGTTCATGACTGCTTGTGCGCGGAGGTGCGATCTCACCCCCACTCTCAAGTGTGTACTCAGATCTGCTTGTGCGCGGAGGTGTGGAAATTTATTTGTAAGAGTTCTAATGAAAACTTGCAGTCAGGTCAGGTCTTTCAGAAAACCAATGGAAGGAGGATCTTATAGAACACCTGACTCATGAGCACAAATACATACCAAGTACCCGTGCATATAAGTATTTCAAATTTTAAAACCAATTCATCTAAATGTAAAACTTTTGTATTACAATCAGCCTAGGGCCTATATTCTAGCTACTTACATACATCTAAAATTCTAAATCTAAATATCGCTTGTGGCATGAAAGGCTATGTCATATTACTGTAGCAAAATTATTAGAAATTAAAAGAAATAGCTTTTCATTTGCTAGTGGAAATTAATAAAGCGCCACCTATTGTCAGAGAAAGCATGTTGAGTAACTGAAGGTGACGTCACTGCGCATGTGAGGCCTTATAACTTAAATTTCTTCATAAATAGCGAAATAATGTTCCGATCTAAAAAATCGGTGGTAAATCGATAAATATTGATAAAAATATGTTATACAAGGTCAAATGAAGACATTCACTATGATATTATGGACGCAGTAGTTTTCCGCGGTTTGTGGGCGTTAGAGTGGGCTTAGCCGTATGAAAACTAGGGGAAAGTTGCAGTGGCACCTCTTAAATACGTATTCTTAACACAACTTTCTAGCTATTATAGTTCCTGGGAGTTTTGCAGTTTTGGTTTTTCGGGTTTTGTGGGCGTTAGAGTAGCCGTGGCGTAATCGCATCGGGGCATCATAAAAAGATAAATAGATATCAGCTTTTCTAGAAAATGTGAAAATGTAGACTCTTTCTCCTACCTCAAATATTTTATTTTGTCTTGATGGGTTACACCTGTCAAGATTATCCCTCTCTGCTTTTTCAATATTCATTTTTAATGCTTGCTTAACTTTGTCGGAAGCAGAGTGTATTACATCAATGAGTTTTCGGTTAATGACCGAATGTAATGTTTTATAATATTTAACGGTCGCCGCGTTACTAGCTCCACTGTATTATTAATTTGCTTATCCATTTTGATGCACCTCGCTATTTATGTTAGGGTGCTGTGGAGGCGTTCGATTTTTTCCGTTTGAACTACTGTGCAGCGTGGGAGCATTTACAACATCTATGCCATACTGATTTTTGAGTAACGATGTGATCGTTTCAGAGCTGAAAGACGCTTCGTTATCACAGTATATTGTCTTTATATTTGGGAATAAGTTTATTAGTTGGAGGATAGGGATTTTCACGAAAAATAGTTTTTTATCGGTGGAAAAAATGTCAATATGCAGCATTTCGCCGACATATGACGGAATTGGAGTTACCCCAAGTTCTTGTTTCTTGGAGTGTCTGTCATACTTTGCTGTAGTGCATCTTTGTTTATTTCCGAAAAATATAAGGTTTCGCTTTAAGGAATACTATGCCTTTTCTAGGATTTTCTGATTTCTGAAACAATTTAAAGGGTTTTCCATTGTTTCTATCGTATAAGTGCTGGATTCTTCACTGTGAACTTTTGCACAATCAGATTTGGGTTCGTTTTGAAGGCCATTGGTGTTTTGCCGCGAAAGGGCGTCGGCGACAAAATGTTCCTCGCCGGGAGTGTATATGACTTTTACGCCATAGTCATCTATAAATGTTTTCCAACGTTTTAATTTGTCATTTGGGTTCTTGTTGGAAACAGCGAACGTTAGCGGCTTATGGTCTGTGTAGATTCTTATGTCACGAGTGCCATACAGATACTGCCTTAATTTTCCTAGAGCCCAGACTATAGCGAGTAACTCTCTTTCGTTAGTTGCATAACGGGTCTCGCAGTCTTTAAGGGTTCTGCATATTATCGTTATGGGTTCTTTGCCTTGTTACAGTAGAGCCCCGATGCCGTAGGCTGATGCATCAGTTGTCAGATCGAACGGTTTCCTAAAGTCTGGGTATTTGAGGGTGACATCTTCATGTATTTCATATTTCGAAGTCTATCGAATGCGTCTCATTGCTGATTTATTGGTTTATTTCCTTGATTTCCTGATTTATTTCCTTGACATGTGTTTACTTACGGAACCGTTTTCTCCCTTAAGGAAGTTGGTTAGTGGTCTAGCTATTGTATCGAAATATTTTATGAAACACCTATAATAGCTGGTAAATCCTAAGAATGATCTTAGTGAGAAAAAGCTTGTCGGTTTTGGGTATTCCTAAATGGCTGCACCCTTTTCAGGGTCAGTTTAAGGTTACTACGAAGCCGAGTTATTGGACACTTTCTTTGAAAAAAATTTGTTTTCTCTTTCGAGATGGTCATATTGGCTTGTCCTAATTTTTTCAGGACCCAGTCAATGTTTTTCGTTTTCCGAAAAGATTATGGCATCGTCAACAAAGACGTAACACGATTTCCCTATCTGCTCTCTCAATACATCACCGATTGCCCTTTGAAAAATGCTGCCAGCTAATCCAAAAGGAAACGGCAGAATTCATACTTGCCCCCGTTGACTAAAAATAAGGTTTTTTTCGCGATCTTGCTCCGTAAGGGAAATTTGGTGATAGCCAGATTTTAAGTCTATAGTTGTTTAATATTTGGCTTTGCCAAGGTTTGCCAGTATTAACTCGATGGCAAGCGGTATTTATCAGGAATGGTTTTTTCGTTCAGTGTTCTGAAGTCGATTACCGAACGCTTTTTCCTACCACCTGTCTCATCTGATCCTTTTTGTCGACCACCCAAGTTGGATTATTATACGGTGATCTCGACGGGGTTATAATATTAGACTTCAGTAGGTAATTTATTTCTTTATTAACGATCTCCGCGAAACCCATTGGGTGTGGGTACGTTTTAAAGTACACTGAGTTGATATCCTCAGTGCGAATAGTTGCCACAACATTTCGATAAACCCTTTTTGTCTGCGTATGGAACGACTATGTCCTTTGTGCTGCTAAAGTTTACATTGTCGCAATCAAAAAACTGCAGGTCCTCAGACACGGTGGGTGGCTCCCACTTGCGTTAGCATGTCGAAGCCTATGTTCCCGTCAAATGTTGTTAGGGAATCTAATATGAAAAATGGGGAAGTTGTTCCCAAGACACTTATTTGGCACTTTTTATTTGTGCCTATGGACCCGTGAATTGAATTCACCCGAAACGGTGAGGCTACTGCCGTTATGTTTTTAAGTTCCTATACGGGCTTTAGATAACTTTTCGCTACGCGGTAACCGGGACCGCTCCCTAAAAAATTGAAAAGGTCATGGGAGTCGACCTAGTCGCTGTCGTCTTCGATTGCGCTCAGCGCGGCTACCGCATCGTTCTCATATTCTTGGTCTTTGGCACTGGCGGTCTGCTCGATGATTTCAAGCCTCTGGTGCATTTGATCAGTTATCTTATCTGAGGAGTTGGGTCTTTTTGAATTTTTTGCCTGCATATTTTGAGGTTGTGATACATTTTGGTTTTGTTTAAAATGTGGCTGTTGCATGGACTTAGAAGACGATGGGTTCCAGTCCATGGGCTCTGCTGCCTAACGTGGATTTCCACGGTCGGCCCAGTTCTCTGGCTTCCGCCCAGAACCATTTTGTTGGTTCCTATCTGTTTTTTTAAAATAATGAGGAAGCGCGGTACTGAGTCTTACGAAAGACAGAATTCTCTGTCTTCTGTTCCATTGCCCTAGCATATGTTGCCGCGAACTGGCTTATTTCGATGCTGCCTTCAGCCTCCCTAGCTTATGCGAATGCCGACGGAAGTTCTTTTAGCTGTGCCGGGAATACGACTGCGTCCGCTCCTACCTCATTTTATTGTATGCAATTTTTGTGTATGTTTGTTGAAGCCGTAAAATTATTAATCAGCCCACATACATGTTTTTCTTGAAAATTTCGACAGTCGCTAGTTTATTTTGGCGCGTGAGGCGCCAGTTATATTATAGTCGGATGCTCGGTGGTAAAGCTGCACCAGATCAGGCCGATGAGGTGGCACCGGTAGGGTGCTTGCTGAGTAGTAGTGAGTGTCAAGATAGATAGGAATTGGCGGACGGGCTGCTGCTCCCATGTGGCCGCTAATGGTGCCACTGGTATTGTGGTTGATGAAGTGTAAAATTAAGTTTATGTCGAGAGGGTGACTAGGGTGACTGACAGAACTGAGGAACTTAGCTGTAAGAAAAGTGGAGCTTAGTAGGCAGCACGACCGCATAACAGTGGAAAATGCTGACGATCGCAAAATGAGCGTAACTCACCAGACCGGGAATAAATGGGACCCAGGCACGGCCCCCAAAGGCGGTACGCTGAGTCGGCATCTAGAAAGACTAGGGTGATCCAAGAATCACCCAAGATTTCTACCGACTGTTTGTTACCCCTCAGTGGTGTTAACTTATATATACTTTATGGGGTCGGAAACGCTTCCTTCTACTAGTTTCACACTTTTCAACGAATCTAGTAGATCCTTTTACTCTACGAGTAACGGGTATAATTAAATGGGCCAATAGATATTTTTGAAGACAATCAAGGTTGTATTAGTATAGCTAATAATCATCACAAGAGAACTAAGCATATAGATATGAAATATCATTTTACCAGGAACAATTTGAAAACCAACTAATCTGTGTCAAGTATATTTCCACTGATACATTAACTAAGCCACTACCAGCAACTGGGGCTGACTGGACCTTTAGTCTGAATCTTTATATGGAGTTTTTGTTAATTGATAATTCCCATATATAATATGTATATATATATTTAACAATAACCAAACCAAAATAATTTCCTGTCTAACTATTGCTGTTTATATAGGCGAATCTTGTTAATTTATGTTTTTTGATTGATCTGGTTGGGGCTTACTGGGTTTCCTCAATTCTTTGCAGGAAATGCTGGATCAAAAAGAAAACAGTCCCCAAAGAAGAAAAATACAACAACCATCTGAATATGCACACACTCCTTTGAAATATAATAAATAAAAATAATAAAAATAATTGTTTTGTTATTCCTCAAATTTGTATCAGTGTAACTTTTGAGGTGGCGTGTTGAAAATAATAAAAGTCATACTTATACACATACACATTGTGTGTGTGGGAAGGATATGAACGATGAAGTTCTTTGAGAGAGGCAAAGCTCTCTCTTCTCTTTGTTCTCTCCCTCTCTGCTTAAGAACTTTTTTGATCCTTTTTGTACGAACGTGCTTACCATCCTTCACTTGCTAATAGACAACGAGAGTGTGCGGTTGCGTAAAATAAAATTAACTAGAACTACAATTGAAGTGTTTTAACTATTTGGCAAATCTGGCTGGTGTGTTCCTTGAGTTTGTATAAAATATAAATTCCACACCTGTCTTCCTTTTTATAGGTCTATATGTCTATTTATTTCCGCGTGTCGTTCTGGCGGTCTATATGACTATCTATCTTGATTCAGGACAAAACTTTCCGTTCAGGTTAAACAAATAGAAAAGTAGGACGAACCTATATTTATATAATATATACGTAAATTATTTTAATCGATGTTTAAGTTAAATTTTTTTATTCAACCCAAACTAAGTAAATTTTTTTTCTTTATTTATTTGACTATTGATTTTTAATTGGACTGCTACTTTGGAGCTGGGGAGTGTGATCACTAAGCCGACGGTTAGAGGGAAATGTATGTAATTGTATCTAATAAAACTAAAATGAACTTAATCAAATTAAATTTAGATAAAAAAAATTCAAGCATAAGAGCGCGCTGATTATGGGCTGGAGAATTTCCGCCTTTTAAAAGGGATCGCCCCGAGTCATTTTGTTCATATTTTAATTTATTTTCTTTGAACATTTTCTAGGCTTATCTCTTTGTTTATATCAGGCCGTGGCAACAAAAGGTAATCAAATTTAGCATATTTTAGTAAAAGTATAAAAATTATTAATAAAGTGATTAAAATTAATAAAATAAAAGATAGAAACGGTCTAAATTCATTAATGTTATCAAGTATTATATCTGAATTATTTGAAATTACATACGTTATAATTTTATAATTTACAAATTTGTGGGGCGACTCCCGTTGCTTGACGTGCAACCCACCTCCCGCCCAACCGAGCGAGGGGCGCTGCCGTCTGACGTACGGCTCGGAACACGGGGCTAGATCTGAGTGGATTAGTAAAGATACGAGGAAAGTTAGTGTTGTGCTAAATGGATTAGTATCGAAATTTTCAAAGTGTTAGGAGCAGAGTTAGAGGTAATGTTATAAAGATCATTGTAGTTCGAACATAGTACCCGAAAGGGTTCATGTTGGGCAAAGTTCGAACTACAGGGTTGGATACTCAAGCGGCCTAGAAGGGCCTGTCTATCAATTTCACCCTTAAGAAGATTATGGATAAAGACGACACGAAGCATCGTCCTACGAAATAAAAAGTGTTTTGGTTCAGTCGTCGTTTCGCGCGAAGGCTACCGAATTGGACGCGGAAATGGGTTCGTCGATCTGGATATCGGGCTCCTTATTGAACTGGGGGCCATCACACCGCAAACAATTATTGTCACAATCGTGCACGACGTGCAGGTGGTGGATTCGCCTCTGAACGTGTTCCAGAAGTATGATGAGCCCGTGGACACCATTGTCACCCCCACAGAACTAATCCGGGTGTCAAAGCGCTTGCCCCGTCCTAAAGGAGTCTTCTGGGAGATTCTGTCCGAACGACGCCTGAAGATACTGCCTGTACTGCATCAGCTTAAAGAGCGAGAGGAAAAGGCCGGAAAGTCGATATCCTTAAAAGAGGAAGATACCGACGTAGAGCAGCATCAGAATAACCGACGACGTCGGGGGCCCGTGCGTCGTCGCTTCCAACAAGGAAACCCGGGACGCACCACCTCACAGACTGACAATGAACAACATGGCGAGACTACCCAGAAACGCACTCCGCCTCGCAAAGGTCGTTTTGTCACTCGCCGAAGGCGCACAGCTAAGTCTGAGGGAGATCAGTCTGGAGTTGGGGTCGGTGCCAAGAGTGAGGATCGTAAATTCGATGAGGTTGGCACTGATGAGCGTCGTCCAAAGAGGAACAAGAATCGTGGACCTAGCGATTTTTGTATAAAGTTGACGAATTTGACACGTGACATTCGCGTCAAGGACCTAAAGTCGGAACTTCACAAACGTGAATGCAATCCGATGGCGATTTCTTGGAAGGGTCATTTTGGAAAGTGTTTTCTGCATTTTGGAAACCGCAAGGTTTCTAGCACCCAGGACGACGCGGACAAAGTTTTAAAGTCCCTTAATTATCTCTCGTTAACCATCACCACAGGTGGCGAGACTGCCCCAGTCGGCGCATCAACTGGGGGCAACGCCGCCGTCAAAACGGAGCTGAGTCTGCGGCGCCTATACAGACAAAGATTATAAACGTTAACGTCGAGCTGTATCAGTTTGACGCCAAAAAGAGTGCCATTTCCACTGGTGCCAATGCTAGTGCTGGCGAGGACGGAAATGCTGCCGGTGACACGCAAAATGGGGGCGAAGCAGGAACTGTAGGTGGCAGCGATGTGGGTGGTACACGTATCGAGGCTGTCGACACCACCACAGTATAGTATGACTACGCGCTTGGCGCAGCCACAAAATGGTCGCAACGGATTTCCGCCGGCAGCGCAACGTTTGGAGTTCAACGAAAAGAAGTAACATTTTGTTAAGAACAAAAATCGAAAAATATCAAACAAAAAATGAATAGAAAGCGAACTCCGGACACAAACACAAAGTACACTCAACATACACACAACATTTTGCAGCTTGTAGTTTCTTCTTCTTCTTCATTACTCTATTAAGATCAAATTCAACCTTTTCTTACGAGAACCCAAACCATTGCCGCTTTTTCTAAACAAATGCATTTGTTTTTACCAATGAAAAATTCGTTGAATTATATAATGAAATGATTGCATAAATACTTGTTCCACAAATAGAGTGGAACAAAATTTTTTCCAAATAATGCCTTACTAACTTTTTGTAACTTGTTACAATTTGGAGTATTTCTGAGGTACTTCTTAATATTTTTCATTTTGAATTCACGCTCCAGCACTGAGATCGGTTGCTCTATTAAGCAGTTGAGGTGCAATTAAAGGTCTAACATCTGTGGACGAATTTAAAAAAATATTCAAACATGTAATAAGAATCAAAGAGCGAAAAGCAGTGAATACGATTTATTTATTCAATTTATCAATTGAATTAATAAAATAAACACTTGTCACATTTTTCGCCGAGAAAATTATAAAAAGAAATTACAATTATAATTTGGTTGGTGTTTCCGTACTCTCATGGCAAAAAATTTAATAATATACTTTAACAAAAGATCAAGACAAGTGTGAAAACACCATTCAAGGCAGAACATAATTTACTCTTTTTTTACACAAAGAAAAGGAATTATACAAAAAAAAAATGTGAAACATGAATGAAATATAACTTGAAATAAAAATAATAAAAAACATAGGGGGCGTTAAATTCCTTCCTTCATTGAAACCAAGCACTCCTCTAGCTTTATTAACCATAGAGGAAATATGGTCGGAAAACTTAAGTTTTACATCGAGTAAGATGCCAAGATCTTCAACTGCATTAACTCTTTCCAGAGCTACACCATGCAGAGTATAAGAGGCAACTTTAGGTCTTAGGCGACAGAAGGTCATTGCTTTGCACTTGGAGCCATTAAGATTTAATAAGTTTGCAGTTCACCTGGTAGGAGGCATCGGTATATTGCAGATAGAGTTTGACATTATCTGCATACATAAGTACAACCAAGGGAAGGTCATTAATGAATAAAGTAAAAAGTAACGAACCAAGGTGGCTCCCCTGAGAAACCCTGGAGGAAGCATAGACTAAAGCTGACACAGAATTTTTAACAGAACTTTTTGCGTTCTACCTCTGAGGTAACTGCTAATCCAACCCAGGAGATCAGTAGGAAAACCGATAAGATTGAGTTTTTCTAAAAGAAGGCCGTGTTTCACGGAGTCAAATGCTTTGCTGAAGTCAGTGTAAGTGACATCCGTCTGAAGTTTATTTTGGAAACCAGTGATCACGAAGGATGTTAGTTCCAGAAGATTTGCAGTGGTAGACCGTTGTTTCATAAAGCCATGCTGGCATGGAGATATGATTCCATATATGATTAATTTGAGCCAGTGACATGTCTAACATGCCAGCAGTAAAGTCGTGATGCGACGTAGGTGTTAAAGCTAAGGTGTTATCGTTCATGGACCAAGCCACCTGGGGTAGGTTGAAATCACCCAACACCACCAGCTGATCCATGTCCGATAACATTGAGAAGACAGACTGAATGGCTGCTAGGTGCCGCTCATATGTCAAGGAATCGGACTTAGGCGGAATATAAGAGCAAGTGATATATAAATTTAACCTAGAGAATGAAATTTTAACTGTGATAAATTCTAAGTCTCCAGTTTGAAGATTTATCACCTCGGAAACGAGATTAGAGTCCACTGAAATCAGGACTCCACCACCATTTCCGAGGGATCAAGCCTATATATTGTGTACCCACTGGGGAAAACTTCAGAATTAAGAATTTCTGGAGTTAGCCAGGTTTCGGTAAACACAATGACCTGGGATGCAAACAAGAAGCTTACCGAGAACAAATTAGAAAGCTTAGAGCGTAAGCCTCTGGTTCTGTTGCGAAATAATAATGGATGATGTCAGTTTTTTAGGTTGGCAGGAGCGTTTACTTGTGGAAGCTTTACTCCTAAAGGGCGACTTCTTTCTTCTTTTTATTTTTAAGCTGATGTTCTTGAACGAAAATATGTTGCGGCCAGAAATTGGTCGAACAGATATCGTTAAAAGCCATCGGAGGAACACGAATCTAGAAAGATGTCACGTTCCTAGCGTAGGAATATTTATACTTAGTGATATTTTCCACCCAAATATCGACTTTAAGTTTTGCTTGAATGTAAACTAAGATGTCCGATTCGGACGTATCAGGGGAAAGCCGGGAAACAAAAATGTGTTTCTCTAGAAGAATACCAATCAAGGGCTTTGGCGGGGCGGGTGGTTTACCCACGCTACCAGTGGGTGCCGGTAAACCGGACCCTAAGTTCCTCTGGTGAGTCAAGGGTAAATTATTTTGGGCTTGTAGAACATTTGGCTCGGGAGGGTCCAATGCGACTACCTACTTCTACGACTACTGCTCATCGGACAAATGCCTACGCACCTTAGCAACATTTTCGGGATCCGAAATATAGGCTGTTACCGGTGTCGTCACGATTGGAGTGGTGGACGGCAGCGGTGACAATGAAGCAGACTGTTGAACATCAGATGGAGGGAGAAGGGAGTTATTTGCATTACTGGTGGTAACCGCCGGCGGCAAACGTGACGTTTTTTTTCGCTAAGGAGACTCATTCAACAGTTGTAAATTGTTGAACTGAGTGTCCAGCGCAGACAGGGAGAGGGAGAGAGAGTGTGTTTTCGAGAGCTACAAGTCGGTGGGAGATACAGAAAAGAGATCTACAGATGTTGTGCTGAAGAGGTAAGCCGTGAAAGTTCCGTTACTAATAGCACAAAGTAAAGTTAAAAAATGTGTTAGAATACAGACCACAGTTGTTGATATTTGTTTGCAATAAATGCTTTATGAAAACAGATAACAATAAATGCACTGCACGACGCGGAATCAAAAACACATTTCTCAAGTAGATAAACGTTTGCAAAAAGTTGCAAAAACGAGGTGATTCGGGAATAAATTCAAAGATTAAATCGCTCGACAACACTCAAAAGCCAAGAAGACAACCGTTCGCTTTGAAAGAGAAGTGAAGTGTGATGGGCTACGAGGTGTGTTCAAAAAGTAAGGTGACTCTTCAAATTTCGCGAATTTCAAATTTTTCGATTATCGAAACCTTTTAGAAGTTATACGAGGTGTGTTCAAAAAGTAAGGTGACTTTTCAAATATCAAATTTTTGAAATTTTTCGATTATCTTCAGTTTTGGGAACAAGAAAAAGTCACATGGGGCGAAATCCGGTGAATATGGTGGCTGAGGCATTATTGTGGTGTTGTTTTTGGCCAAAAAATCCAAATCCTTTGATCCATATTTTTCGATAGCAAAAAATCGCCGAGCTCGCAAAATAACTTGTAACTTTACGCCTCTCACAACCAAACAAAAGAGGATGTTCCATTGAAACTTGGTACAGATGTTAGGGAAGAGTGTACCAATATAACAAAACAAAAAAATCGATAATCGAAAAATTTGAAATTCGCGAAATTTGAAGAGTCACCTTACTTTTTGAACACACCTCGTATATAGTTCAATATTTAATTTTATCTATTAGTATAACTCATGGTTGTAGTTAAAACGAACAATTCCTTGCCCACTTATAAATGGGCCTGAGGCTAACAGAAATCTAATTAATAAATCCCTATTTAAATCTACTCGAGACATTTTTCTAGTGTGAAACTCCCGAAATTCTTTTATATCATTGTTTTAAGGTTTGGCAGCTTCTTTCGACAACTCTCCTATCGAAACATGGCCATAGCTTATAATTTCAGAACCGTGGACTATAACTTTGTGAACGGATGGTGGAAGGATACAATTTAATAATTTTTGCGGTATCAAGTGCAAAACATCCAAATTTTCCGAATTTTATAGCCACATGCCATGAATTGCAGTAATGTTGCACACCTAATTAAAACATTTTCATCAAATCCTGTAATATCAGCAGACAATTCGTATCGCTAAAAATGTTCTTGCCATATTACCATCATTAGAAGATTCACTACCTCCGCTCCTTAGTTGGTCGACATGTAATCCCATTTGGGCGCGGAAGTCTGCTTGAACTTAAGTTTTCCTATCCTTAAATAATTTTTTGACTTCTGGGGTAAATATACATATTCGCCAAGTTTTTAAATGCAATCTATATGCCGAAACCGAATATACGAATGCAATGGAGACAGCCCAAATTTGAAATGTTCTTTGTGAATTTTTTCAAGCATATTTCCAATTCATTCATTTCGCTCGGCTTTGCGTCACATATGTAGCATTTACAAGGAGATGTTTCACTTAAAGCACTACAGACTTTTCCGTCAACCATTGTTAATTGGAAACGATTATAGGTTTGTTATAGGTTTGGAAAGTACTTTACATGTATATGACTCCAGCGCAGTAATTTTGTCTCTGCAGTATTTATCTTCCTCTCATGTTAATTGGATTGTTTCTTTTTGGAATTGGTACCTTATTGGTCTGCAGTAACGTGTTGATGACGGTAGAGGATTTTTCCAAAATTCTTTGAGTTTCTTGGGATTATTATTTCGAGTAATTACAAGCAGTGGTACATACGACAAACACAAACAATCTGAATCATTAATGTTACTATTAACAAAACTACGGATAAGCAAATATTGATGTGAGTCATATTGTATCAAGAAAGAGTTACTTTTAAAAGACTTAATCAACATTAAATTCTGCAAGCGTTGTTTGAGATGAATTGAGCGTAATATAGAAGCAATAGACTCGTCGGTTTTTGATAGCTCAGCAATTTTACGTCGCTTCTTTAAAATCTGCTTTGGGTCGTCCACTGTCAGAATTTTTTGATGTTGATTGGGCGCAACTTATCAAAATTTATTCCTTGCCATTCAATCAAACAGATTGATATTGGAGAAATGTGATTTTTACCAATTTATTACCTTTAGAGCCAGGCGAACACATACATACACCACTTAATTAAACTTAAACTTAAACTTAAAACTTTAGCTAAACATAAAAAAGACGTTCAAAATATAGACAAAAACATTTATTATTT